GTGGTAAAGTCATATCTTAGAAAGTAGAGGCTTCTTTCTCCCCCCAAAGGGCCTGTTTATTATATATAGACATACACACTAACTTTAACATCCCACTCTGAAAGGTCGAGAAAACCATATTTAAACAAGGGCTACAACACATATAAGGTGACCAGCTGTGACCCCCAGAAAACATTTTGTGATCCCCAGGTTAGGGAACATTGTATTAAAGTTATTTTAAACAAGGCTATCAGCCATCAAGGTACTACAAGACTCCTTGTTGTTTTAAATACATTATATTTACTCCTATACTCTTACCTGGGAGAAAGTCCCAGTGAATTGAATGGGTCTTACATTTGAGTAGTAGATATGTACAGGACTTTTTTTGTTAATTTGGGATCTCTGTATTGTTTGCTACATTAGAATTAAGGTAAGATTCTCCCTGAGGAGGACCCAAACAAGATGTAAAGAAAGTTGCCTTAGCAAAGTTATTGGAGAGTCACATGGGGGAGTGTACAGTCACATGGGCCATACTTATGCATATTTGGAAGTATGCCTATATTTAAGTATTCCATAGCATTCCCTAAGGACCATTTATTTTTTGCTTCTTTTTCAGTCAGAAATCAGATGCACTGCCAAGACGCAGAGAGCCACCCAGCTCTGGGAAAGTGTGATAGAATAACAACATCAAGGGTAAACAAATGTGCCCCATTGTGGCTGCTTATTTCCTTTTCTGTTTCTATGGTTTCATGAACAGGCTATTGTCTTCTACAGGCGTGCTGATGTTGGTACTGAGATGGGCAGACATGTAAAACAAAATATCAGCAACTTTTTTGGAATAATTGATGAAACAATTATTGGATACAGTATATCTGTGTAATGTACATTAAAGCACAAGGTTTTTGTGTGTGCTCCACAGATGAATTTGAGAAGTTTAATCTAAACTGTTATAGAGCAAATGTACTCAACCTCTGGGAGAGTTCTTCACCATGTGACTGAAAGTAGTTTGAAAGTAAAAGCTACATCTAAAAAAGTGAGATCACAGCTCTGAAGGCAGATTAGCCAAGAAAACAAACAATTCTTATAGACTGTGACTATTTTAAACGCAAATGTTTGACAAATTTGCCCAGTCTGCCAAATTTTGCTGACCTGTTTGGCAATTTTTTTAAAAAAACCTTCCAGCTAGTCCTCAAGCTTTCCTTATGGAAAAAAGGAAACAGTTTGGTAATTATACTTGTCAAGTCTAGCATCTGGCATGACACCATTTGACATACTTCTGTGTTCCCTGATTTTTACCTTTGCACCACCCAATCTACTGTGGGAGTATGTAGGACCTTGCCAGCCATTGACAAGGAGGGATTGGGCATAGCTCCTGTTGGAGACAGTCAATGGACACATCAACAGGAAGAAGGAAAATATGACTTGGCGCCAACTTTTTACAATCACTTTCTCCTCCAGAATGAGAAATATTCTACAATGAATATATTTACTAGGGTTACAGCCAGGCTTTTGTTTACACTGGTATTGTAACACCTTTGTTCTCCACTGAGTCAACAACGTCCATCTTGCAAGTCCATCCACCTACAAGAAAAATTACTGTCACGTTTGGCAAGATTTATGGACTTTGCTTCTTACCCATCTTGAGAGACCTTACAATCACTTTTTTGGGGGAGGGGAAGAGGGACAAAGTCCAAAAAGATAGCCAGCTGTGTTGCTGCATATCAACCAACCAGTTCATCGTCACCTGAAGCACCCAAAGCCTAAAGTGTATGGATTTGGATTGCACATTCAAGACCCAGCCGTGTAAAATAGTTTGCATTACATAAAGAAGAGCTGAGAACAATGCATTGTTCCTGGGAAAAATCTGCTCCGTGAAATACACCAGCTACTGTAAGAATTGTGTATAAGCTCAAATGGGGAGCTGGCAGCAGATGATGTCATCATCCCTGCTAATCAAAAAGTCCTGGCACTTCGACCCTTTGTGTTGCAGTTCCTGAGCACCATTGGCTGCAGAATAGAGGCTGCAGATGATGGGTCCATCTATAGACATTATTCAGAGTCTGAATACTCCCAGCTGGTACCACTCAAGCAAGGAATCTTGAGCAGGCATTTAAACCACAACAAAAGGAATGAGAATCAACAAGGCTACTGTTCCCTCTCAACAAAGCCATGACCTCCAAATCAGTTGTTTATTTTTCTTTAAATGCTTCAGAAGTCCTTCTCTTCTCCAGAAGCACTTGCCTCTCATAATGTGAAAACCAACCCTTCCACAGGAACAAAAGATGAGAAGTGGCACTGCACATCTTTTAAGTGTTGTTCTCTTTCTTTGAATTTGCTCTACTCTCTTTCTGTTTTCGTATTCTTCTCAGAAAACTGTAGGTTAACTACATGTTTTGCAGCTTCAACATGATTGTGGGACTTCTCCTCCCCTACACTTTTTCTTCTACAATGCCCAGACTGACTAAGAATCTTACACAACTGGTTGAGTTGTTTATGATATTTTAGTGGCCTAGCATAGATACTACCCTTGTTCCTTTAGAAGATGTATGATTATAATATCAATGCAAGAGAGGGTGGAACTTTCTATTGGAAAGAAAATAAAGAACAAGCTTTTGTGGATGAAATTTGCTTCTTCAGGATACACATACCTCCTTCATGGATAGTGCAGAAAAACTGTACACAATTATAGATGTTAATAGTGTTTGTCAGATTTTATAATTAAGTTTGTTGTGCCTCATTTGTGCTGTAAGCACACATTTCCGACAGCTGCTTATTCTGTACAAGAGCTGATAGGCCACTAGCTGCTCCCTTAGATATTTTCCACTTTCACTGCTATTCTTTTTTAAAGCCTTTGTTTTTATGGTATGCTGGTTCAGGTGTGAATGGCTAGTATTGGTTACTTTCCCCACTAACTACAATTCCACACCACATCATCTTAAGATGATAATGCTGTACTGCATTAGTGAAAGTCTAGTGTTTTGAAAGTCCAGATTAAGTATAATGACATTTTAGCATAGAAGGATGTCTCAGACAGGAATGTATAACCATGATATGTTCTAACATTCTTCATGTGCAGACACAGCAGTGCTCATAATTGTGCCACATTTAAGAATGGTGACACTTTGGTCAGTGGCACTGACCAAAGGATAAATGACTGCTAATGATTATTTTTTTGCTGAAACATATATGAGGGGAAGCAACACGTAAGTGTAAAACTATTATCTGGAAACTATTATCTGGAAAATTCAACCAAACAGCCACAGTGTTTTATAAAATGTATTCCAACCAGATGCTTACATATCTCTGCTATTTAAAACCTGCTGTGGCTTTCCTGGTTGATTTCCTATGGTGGCATTGCGTTACTACTCTGTTGAAATACATTGCTGTGATGTACTTATTGGAAGCAATAAAGCATTTCTGCCATTATGGATTCCAACCTTGTTTGTTGTTTTGCTGACAGTAATGTGCACGACCTCATGAACAAACAAAGCAAAACCAAAGATACACAGATGATTTACAGAGGAAGGACATTTTCACCAAAAAAAGCATGCAGAGACAAACTCCTCTACTGGCCTGAAGACTGCACCAGCTCAAAAGGAAAATCTGTCATGCAGATTGGTACACAAACAAAGGCAACTCATCTATTCAATGCAGATATTACTGTCATTGAACTGGCATGGGCAAGTTTGGTAATAATCCTGATTTTAAAGTGTAAGGCCTTGCTGCCCTAGTGGCTCTACAATTCCCATTGTGGGAAATTCTGGTTGGGGCTGATGACGGCTGTAATCTAAAGCAGATTGAGGGGCCAGCAAAGATTAGCTTATTCCAGTGATGGGGAGTATGTGACCCTCCAGAAGTTCCTGGACAACAGTCCCATAATCCCTTACCTCTCACTGTCTCAGCTGCTTAGGACTGATAGAAACTGCAGTTCAATTGCAGCCATGTGCTTACCAGAACTGACTAATTTTTAATACCTGACATATGATCCACAACATGCTCCTTGTGCCCATAGTAATTAATTCTACTGCACCCTGTATATTTGGGAACCCCAGCTTCATAATCTTTGGACCAGTTCAATACATGTATACTGATCTCCCAAGTAGCTACATTGACAGCATATATATCAGTGCTGAACAGCCTTTGCAGAAAGGTGCACAACAAAAATAAAAACTAAAGTTGTGCTCTCTTGAAGAGATGCATTTGAGTCTGAGGAAGGGACTGCAATGTGTGAAAGCTCACGCTGAAATAAATCTGCTAGTCCTTAAGGAGCCACAACACTTCTGTTTCCACCTTTGTTGTGCATGCTGAAAGAGATCAACACAGCTACTTGGCTAGAAATTGCAGAGAAATAGGATGGAGACACGAAATAAAGGGTCCCACAGTAAAAAGGAAGTTTGCCTTTCCCCACTAACGCCCTCCATGAGTACATCAACTGTTGAATCACCCAGAGGTCTTTAGCCTCTCTGCGTATTAGGTGCAGAAGGCTCCAGGCACTCTCTGTGTTCTGGAATTACCCACGGAGCAGCCCAAAGAGATGCTGAAGTGGGAGAATGAGGGGATGGGGGGGGGGTTGATGTGAAATGAAGAACTGTGGGAGGGAGAAAGGAGAGCAGAGCAGCAAGCACATCCATGCCCGTTTGCAGCTCCTCGGAGGAGTAAGAGGCTGATGAGCTGGTGGCAAGGGATGCCCTCCTTCCTGACCGGGTGGGGTGGGCGAGAATCACACACCAAACAATCCCTTGCTGGCCACAGAGAGACCAAGAGGACCCTGGCACTTGCAGGACCAGCCAGGCGCGCTGCTCTTCTCCAGCGCGTCTCAACCCCACACTCTGCTTCCCACCACGACCTCCCCTTACCTTCCCGTCTCTAGGCTCTCCTTCCCTCTCGCCTTCGACCACCACTACCTCCCTTCTCCGACACTGACGCTCCTCGCTTTCTGCTCTTTCTTCCTCCCTCCCTCCTTCAGCCCACTCGCCTGACAGTCCCCCTCTACCCTCCAGTCCCGGGCGCCTGGCACTGACCCAGAAGATGAAGTTGAAAATGAAGAGCAGGAACTTGACGCAGCGCATCCCTCCTTGCAGTCGCCCCATGGCTGGCTGGCTGGCACCGTCTCTTCGTTCAGCAGCAGTTCTTGCGCGCAGCCGACTTCACGGGCAGGCTCCTTTGCCGGCTCGCGGCTCCCCAACCAGGGCGGGAGGGCTGGACGTGGGCGGAGCCTGCGAGGAGGGGGGGCAGGTGCCGGGCGAGGCGGGGCCCAGAGGGAAGGGGCGAGGCGGGCGCGCGCGCGGAGAATGGTGTGGTGGTGATGGTTGGCGTTGTGTCGCCGCCTGTTCCCAGCCCGTACTCGGCTGGCACTCACAGAGGTGCCGTCTTGCTTGGAAATCGGAGCTACTCAACCTTGCACTGAAGCCTTAGTGCAATGCCAGTGTTTGAGGGGACTGGGTCCGTTGGTTAGCAGGGGAGGAGAAAATGGTTTGGGCGCCGTCGGTCTGCAGCGCGCCTTCCTTGTTCCTCAGCTGAAGTGGAAACGAAAGCTTCCCGCTCGAGTCCCCGCGCTGAGCCAAGGAACCCCCTTGGTGGGCGAAACGAGGACCGCTCTCCCCCAAAGATGCCCTAAGGGGAAAGAGAGCTAAGCGGGGAACCACTGAAATAAAAGGAGCCGCGGACTCACTACACAATACAAATGCAGGAGTAGGTGATGCCGTTATGGACCTCTAAAGAAATCATATCTGCTAGCTTTCTGTGGATCAGGATGCCCGCTTCCTCAGGCTTGCCCCAGTGTCTTGTCCTTAGGGCAAGGAACCTGGAGTCCCCAAAGTTCATGGCAGATGGATTGATTGTGCCAGGCCTTTGTCTTAGCTGTGAAGTTAGGAAAGATGGAGGCGGCACTGGAGTTGAGGCTTTAAAGTTGCAGCTGAGAAAGCGGTTGATTGGGTATCACACCCAAGTTCTTCAAATAAAGAAGTGCAGGTATTATGCATACACCTTCCCATTTGGAAGCAGAGGACCATGTAGCAGAGGGTTTTTTTAAAAAACAACTTTTCCAACGGACCAAAAGCCCTGTCAACCCCTCTCCCAGTAGCCAAACACAAATCTTCAAGCTTAGTGGTTGCTTTAGGGTATGCTACACGCCAGTCAATAAACCTTGTGGATGGTGCTTGTAGGTTTTTCTGACTGTTTGGCCGTGTTCTTAAGATAGGTCTATCCTTAAGAACATGGCCGAATTATCTCACAAACTGCAGCAAAGCACAGAGAGAGTTCTGACTCATGTCCCCCAAAGATTCCGGCCACAGAGACTGGCAAAATGTTAGGAAGGAAAACCTTAAGAACAGGGCCAAACAGCCTGAAAAACCTACAACAACCATTGGATCCCGGCTGTGAATGCCTTCGAAAGACCCTGTGGACTTTGAGAACTGATGACAGTGGAGATGGTTTTGGCCAAAAAGAAAAAGCGATGATTTGGGCAGTTTCATTTAGGTTTGAAAGCCAGGTACTTGGTAAACCCTGTGTAAATTGTGTTACATGACACTGCCTGCTCATTTAAGTTCTTAATAAACAGATGCACAACCTGTCTGATTTTCCTTTCTTTCTCATCAATTTTCAGTGACACATTTTGTGCCTAGCTACATGCCGGAAACAAAAATCACACACACAACCTTCTTCGTAGGTTGTCTTGAGTTTCTTGAAAGAAACAAACATGGGATATAAATGTTGCTGTTATTATGACTGAGTTCTACCCAAATAAAACTGCTAGCACTGGTTATTGCATTTTTTATGCTTTGGAATTCTTTATGTATGAGGCCTTTGAACTCAATGAGATTTATACCTTAGAAGGCATGCATGAGATTTTAAATGTTTTTAAAAAATAAAGCAGATTTTGTTTTTAAAAAGAGTGCCTTCTCATTTGCAACTGAAATGGTTGCAAGTGGTGCTGTAGTTGTTAACCTGTAGTACTGTAGCCAAAACTTTACTCACAACCCAGGTTCAATCCCAGGTAGCTGGTTCAAGGTTCACTCAGCCTTCCATCTTTTTGAGGTCAGTAAACTGAGTATCCAGCTTGTTGGGGAGGCAATGTGTAGCCTCCATAATTAAATTGTAAACTACCCGGAGAGTGCTGGAAGTGCTATGGGTGGTAAATAAGCAGCATGATTTCCTTGTCATTTTCCCCAACTCAGAATTTACCACTTCTTTATGTTGTATGTAGAGAGCTAGCACTAGTATGGCCCCGGCGGCGGCTGCAGTGTTGTCAACGATGCGGTCTGGATTAATTGTTTTTCAAGATAAAGTAAAGGTGGAATGGTAAGTGTGTTAGAAGAGTCCAAGCTGCAATAAAGTCAGTGAAACTTACTTTTAAGATCAGCTGTTGGGAGCAACATATACCTAATTTTCCAAACAAACTCTTTTTCTTTGCTTAGAAAAGGAGACACTTGTCAGGTTTATTAAGGTAAACTGCTATCCAAACCTCCAGAGAATCCTTCTAGCCCTTATCCTCTGACATGTTCCCATCACCTGGCCCTGCTTGCTTCCATATGCTGGAGGTTGGGTCTACAGACCTGAAAAACTCTAGTTTGCTGCAGCACAGAGGATGTCTACTCATCATAGTCCTGGGCAGATTTCAGTCCACTCATTTCTCTGTGAACTAATCCTCTTAACTCTGGTATTTTTCCCCTCTGTGAATGCCCAGTAGTGACAGCTAAAGGCCATCAAATGCTCATTTTTATATAATTCCTTAAAGCTAAAACATACATTTTCCCCCTTAGTCTCCTGAGAAAATTAAAGGAGAGAAGAGTGATGGGGGAAGTGAAGCAAAAGACAAAATGTTTTGCCATCTTGAAGACTAAATGTGAAGAATGTGGACCACAGGGCTATAGGATCTCTAAATTGGAAGGGACACGGGAGATCACTAGCCCAGCTGCTCAAATGTACCACAACAGGAAGTTGCCTTAGAAACATCAGAAGCTGCCTCACCGCTGATCAAAGCTTCTTGCTGAGTATTCTCGTCATGAGTTATGATGTCGTCTGCAGTCTCAGGCAGGAGTTGTTCTTGACCTGCTAGGAACTGCTGGGAACTAGTAATCAGATTTTATAGCGCTGCAGATTATGGACCCATTTTGCTCAGTACTCATCATAAAAAGTGGCAGCTGTCCTTAAAGGTTTTCCACAGATGTCATGATTTGAACCCAGAAACGTTTGCATTGAGATCATGTACTGTGAGATTGAGCTACAGTTCGCAACATGGAGAATTTCAGTGTCAGAGAAGATTTAATAATACGGAGTCCATGAACATAAACCATAGAAAGAGGGGACTGGCATTAGACACAGATTTGATTCTGCAGTGAGTTTGCAAAGCGGGCCTTTCTGTGCTCCAAGAGTCCTATGTGGTTCTGAAGCACATTCCCTAATTGCCAGTTTCTAAGAAAGAGTCAAGTGGTATCCCAAACCAGCGGATGCCTCTGAATTACAAGCTATTGCTACTGAAGGCATGGCTCAGTCCCAAGCTTGTTTAAACTAGCTGAGGACCTTTCCTGTTGCCAAAGTAGACCACCCCTTGGCCCTGTTCAGTGGTAGGCCACAAATCCCTGGGAAAGCCTTGGTTGTCCTCAAAGGCTGCTTGTGTTCAGCTGAGGGTGGGGAATCTCTTCTGGATGTCAGTCTGACTTGTCAGCACCTGTGAAAGCAAGAATGTTGCCACTGGCTGTGTTATGTTGTGATTTGTTTTTGTTGTCAGGGGAGCTGAGAATCTGGGCCAGGAGCCCATTTGGAAAGTGACTCTCTCAGTTCCTTTGGCAATAAAGGGAACAGATATTGGCAGTTTCTTGGGCATATTTAGGGCTCTGGAATCCAGCTTCTGCAGCCGTTGAATTCTGCTGTAATCCTCACCTTTTCAGCAAACGGCTAGGAAATATGGCCTACAAAAATAGGGAAGGATGAAACAAAGCACCATTCTGGAGGAGCTGGAAAAGAAAGAGACAGAGGCAGCCCCAAATGGTCTAAGAACTGAAAAATAAATAAGTAGAAAGAAAATCTTGAAGTTCAGGCTGAGACACATTTATTTTGGGGTGTAATCAGGCCATGGACTGGTGGTAAGGTTAGAATTGTGGATTGTCTTTGCTTACATATCAAGCTTACTGGCTCCCCTTGGATTAGTCAGACTCAAGGGTTTTAGCCTGGACTGCTTCTTGAAATGTTAGGTTGGAATCGTTCCTCCTGCCCCGGCTGCAAAAGTCTGTCACTCCATCTTCTGTCTGTATCAGATCCTTGAAACAGTCACTGTTTGAGGCTACAGATAACACAAACACAGGCTTCTCCCAGCCAAGGCCAATTATCTTCCAAAAGACTGCCGACATCTTTCTTTGTATAGTCATTGTTGGGAAATAGCAATCTTACATGCACTAACACTGGATATCAGTGGGAGGGGGCTTTAAAGTCTAATATGGTTATCCTTTGGCACTAACTAGATTGGTAAAGTTGTTTCCCCACTTCTGGCATTTGAGGCAAATGCCCATAGCTCTTTCTATCTGTTTTTACAACTATTCTTCTTTTGATAACTCTCTCTTCTTCTTCTGACCATCCTCCAACCAGCAAACATTCAGGGGCTCCTGCTTGCCAGAGGCTCCATTCCCCCTCTCTTTTACTCTGATTACAACTAGAGATGATTACTGTAAGTAAAGATACCTTTTTAAGATACAGTACTTGTAATGCTTCTAGAGTGTTTTTTATTATACAAAGTATAAGTTTTGTGTGCAAATCAGGGAAGGTGTTTGGTGAGATTTGTCTGAACTCTCCATGTTCCTGTTTTTTCCCCCTTTCTGCCTTATACTTTGGTAACTAAAGGAATAACTGAATTTCTACAAACCCCCCCCTTTTTACTAAAATTCTCCAATAGTCCCATACATATTGAATCCATAGGACGTTGTACATCTGGAAAACTTGATTTTAGAATAAATCTATGTAGAATCTGACCAAAAGGTTCCCTCTACCCACTCCCAGTACTTAATCAAACACTTGTTTTTACTTTTCATAGCCATGTGAATCTAATAACACATTTTTAAACAAATTGGTTGTGTCTTGTGGAGATCTCTGCAGAAAGAAACACAATATATTCAGTATCTGATCTTTGATGAGTAATGCTGTTGGAATATTGCCAATGGAAGATGTTGGATGC